CCCTCTCCCTGGGAAAGACAACCCATGTACCCTTTCGTGCTGAATGTGAAATTATGAATCTGCAACATTAGAATCTTTCCTTTTGATGGGCATAGTACTCAATCTAGCTCATTGGTATATGTAGGGAAATAATACTAAGGAGCAGTGAAATTGCAGTTCTTGGAGCTCTCTTCAACTTCAGGCATGTGTTTTTTGTCCCCTCATGTATTCTCCTAGCTGCATTTCTCACCTTCAAATTTCTTATCTGTTTGGTGCTGAGGCCTTCTTGATATCTCTTAGCAACCAATTAACTAATCTGTTTTCAAGATTTAATTAATATTCCACACACTGCTGGTAATATTTTGGAATTTCTTTTGCCTCTTGAGTAATTTGTTTAGATATTTTTAGATCTGCAACCAATAGTCGAAGGAATTCTGATCTGTTTGGCACTAATTTAACTTGGACCAAAGTGAATTGAGTAGAAAAGATTGAATCTTGGTTTTTGGTGATGCAGTGGTAAAAAGCCAAATTACTTGGGTGTTCAGAAGAATCCACTTGGTCTAGCACTTTGTCCAGCCACCAACAATTGTGTTTCTTCTTCTGAGAACATCAGTGATTCTACTCACTATGCACCTCCTTGGTAATTTTCCTTTTCTTCCCTCTGTATGTTTAACTTTTGCTCTGTATATCTATCTCTATCATCATAAAAAGTGCACATATAACGAAAAGTGGTCAACTTTCTATGTGGTGATGATGCTTCACGTTTAGTCTTAGCAGCAGTATCAATGTGCACATGTTAATTGTGCACATTTATATGGTAGGTACTAGCTGACATATGAATCACAATGGCCACCCTTTTTTGACTTTTTCTTTAACTAGAATCACAACTGCTGATCTTGGGTGTAGATTCATTTGTGGGCCCGCCCGTCCCCGGTCATGGACAAGAGAACTTTACAGTCCATCTGGATCATCAAAACTTACAAGATGTAACAGATATCGTTCAAGATGAAATGGATGTTTTATATCCATTCTATCCAAGAATCAGTTTGTTCTTTCATATAAGCTTGGTGGACAGGTCATTTTGGAATAATTCACCAATATGAAAAGAAATGAACAAATTGAAGGTTACAAGATAAGCCATTATCAATAGATACTGAACAGAGATGTTAAACTTATGGTGCTTTGATTCTCAGGAACTATAATCCTGAAGGGAAACGCGGTAATGTCAGCAGAGAAAAGGCAATGGAGGAGCTACTTCAAGTGGTAAGTGTCTCAAAACCTGTTTCTCATCATAACAAATAGTTGAACAATATATGTCAAATACCATATTACTAATCTGCATCATTCCGCAGCTAAAATCAACAAAACCAGACAAGTTCTGTCCAAAAATAGCGGAGAAGAAAGATGATTATGTGCGCGTGGAATATGAAAGCCCTATTTTGGGGGTAAGTTTTCAGAGTCTTTCAAAAGTTTGAATTGTTCAGTTAAACACATCATTCTCTGCAGGCACTAATGAACAAGTACATGTTATTACAGTTTGTAGATGATATGGAGTTCTGGTTCCCACCAGGCAAGAAACCAATTGTACAGTATCGGTCAGCATCTCGCTTGGGGAATTATGACTTTGATGCTAATAGAAAGAGAATCAAGGTATGAATATACATAGTACTAAACACCTTTTTGCTGTTCTTGTTCTTTCCAACAATGGCATCCCCATTTAAGTAAATGGCTAATCTGGTCATATGAAACAGGCCTTGAGATTGCAATTAGAGAAGAAGGGATGGGCATCCGAAGACACTGTCTGAAAGGCCTGATATTCATAAAGGAGCACTTGTTCATTACTTGTTAGCATGATGAATAAGATCATCCACTTAATTCAGATTGACTCATATATTGGACTTTTTAAATTTGGAAAGCTTAATAGAGCAGTGAAATAACATCATATTCTGCTCACCATGTTAGCTTTTGAAATTCTGATGAAAAATGTCCACAGCCTCAACAGAGCGTGGAATGTATAGGCCTTCGGTTGTTGGGTCTGCATTTTACCAAAAGAACAAGCAGCTCCAACTCTTTATAGACGCATATACTCTGTATCAAATGGTAGGGAACTGGTATGATTATCTCTGTTGCATGTACTACTATTTTTCCTTCATAAAAATAGCACGCATCATCTCCATTACCTAATTTCCCAGCATGTGGAACTAACATGCAAACAACAGATTATTACTGGGTCATTATTTTGATAGTACATAACAACCATCAGATGACAATCACAAGGTTAATTTCAGCAACCATTTCGTGATTAAGGTTTACTGGCCTTGAGGTGCAAAACTGAGGCATCATTCAAACGTGAATTTAAGACCCAAAAAGCAAATACATTGGACAAACTAGCTACAATAAAGTGCGCGACACTCAACCATGAGAAGACTCAGAATTTTTCACTAATTCCATTTCCAGACATTCTGGCCTACAGCAATCTTTCCTGAGTTCCGTGTATTCATGAACGAAGACCCATCGAGTTTCAGAGGACTATGGGTGTGTTTGCTACGAAGGAAAACATTTTTCAATTTTCCCATGTTTGGTTGGCCTTAATATTTTTCTCATTAACTTACTTTCTTTCAATTGGAGGAAAATGTTTTCCCTATCAAGAGAAGGGAAAACATTTTCAAAATTCATTCTCAACCTTCCCCACCCTATTCTCCATCCCCACCAACCC